TTCGAACGCGAATAGAACTGTCAAATAAAAAGCCAGTACTGTGAACTTGAAACCTCATAACGGTATATCTATTGTCTAATGATCTGCATTGCAACTTTTTAATACATTTCAACAATTGCTGTACAGAAACTGCTGGAACGCGTACCGATTTTTAGTGAACGATGCTTTATTACACTATGGTGCGATTAAATTGGTATTTGTTATAAAATATACAAACTGAAACTTGATGACAATCAGCAAAAAAAGTTCATAAAATATGGTTTTCATGATTGAGAGTGTTTTACAATCGCATATTATCGGCACGGGTCGATTTTTCAATGCAAACGTTCTGGCCACAAATGTGCACCTACAAAGCACTTCATTTTACATCATAAATTTGTAATAAATCAAATTTAAAATGAAAATCGCTCATAAAACACATCAAATTGCTAAAAAAAGGCCACCTCGAAGCGATAGAAGACGATGTAAACAAGAGGGAAGAACATCAAAAACGCTACGAAAACTTTTTTCTGAAATTTTATTACAAATACAACGATGGCGGATTGCGTGATCTGTAGTCGTTGGTTCATGGATGCGTATGTATATATTTGTACAGTTGGTGATGGCTTTTAGGTTGGTGTTATGCAGAAATTTTGTTAGGCAAACTGCGTGCAATTGTTGTTGCAGCAAACTCGGAGAGAGCGAGTTTGGCGACTCTCACAGCAAACTAATTTTGTTTGGTCAAACTGCAGCAAATTCGGCGTTGTCATATACAAAAATTTTTGACAATTGTTGCTGTACAAAAATTCTCATTTCGTGTTGGCAATAGCCATGAAAACCATAATGAACGTGCAACCCTGTGCCGAACTCGACATAACCACCTCCGAGCAAACTAAGCAGCCGTTTAATTTGGCAAACAAAAATTTGTCTGCGTAACGCGACATAACGCAGCGCAACGCAACACAACGTGGCGCAACACAACGCGACGCAACGCAACGCAATGCAACGTAACGCGACGCAATGCAGCGCCACGCAACACAACACAACGCAACGCGACGCAACGCAACGCCACGTAACGCAACGCAACGCCACCGACCACCGACCTTACATGTATTTACGTACCGTTACATATTATATGTAAATTAGGGTGACCGCAAAAAATCGATGTCGGTATTTTATTCGTCTGGACCCCACCAAACGATTCCCCTTTCCAGATATTGAGATAGTCGAAATTTGAGCTCGATTAAACGACGTTAACCCGCTCGTTGCTCTAATTTGAAAAATTCCAAATTTTTGGTCAAAAAGCATGACATGTGGAGCCATAACTCCAGAACGGTAATTAATAAAAAACACGCCTAATATCTCAAAAGAAAGCTAATGTTGTTCTTCAAAATTTATATTCTAAATATACATAATTGTTGCTATTTTAAGTCAAACCGAGTTACAACAGCCTTTAGCCTCAAAAACGTGACCTGGTACCACTAGGAGCATACTTCGTATATTTTGTTATTAAGTGATAAATTTTGCTTTTTGGTATATTTTTGAGTTTAAAGTAGAAATATAATAAAAAAAAACAATACTGATAAGTCTAATGACACTTTTTATTTTAAAATACAAAAATCAGGTATATAATACCTACAAAACTTTCTTTCATATAATTATATTGTTGTTGTGAATTGATTCTGTTTATCCATAATTACAATTGTGTTTGAATGTGCACATTTATTTTGCTCTGTTTGTCATTTCTGCAATTTCATCCTTGTCACAGCTGTTTTCTTTGTCTTGTCAAAAATGCCGATGAACCGAAGTCGATTTATTTAAATTCTTTAGACAGTACAGAAATCGGGAAGGATCCGTCGGTGCTTTTTGAAAAAAAATGTTTAAGTCTTTCACATGCCTCGACAACCCTCCAAACTCCGAGGAAAGTCGAGAAAATAAGCATAAGCGTGTTATTAGTCCACCCAAAAAGATAGTCACTGAATCTACACAGAAAAATCCTCCATCTCAGCCCTTAGATCTAATCAATCTTTCTTCTCCATGCCATCAGGCATTGGAGCCTCCGCTATCTAAAGCCATATCCACTAGGTCTGCGTCTGAAAATAAAAACGACAATTAAACTGTTACGATCGACATCTAAAGTTGCCCTATCTAACATTGATCCTCCGAATAACTCGGAATCCCATATATGTATCTGAAGTCACTACCAAAAAGTTGGTCGACGTCCAATAATACGAATTATATAATGTCAGCCCTATTCGTAAAATCGAAAAATTCGTATAATCGCAACGAATATTTTGCAATAAAAAAGTAACTAAATTTATGTAAAAATTCAAATTATTTTTTATTTTCTTAAAATAACAAAATCAAAACATAAACTTGTACATATTTTTCCATTCGTACATATATCAAAAGGTTAAAATAAATGTTTGTACTAAATTACCGGAGAACATCAGTCTACTAGAAACTCCGTCATTAAGCTCTGACGTTTATTGATCTGCAAACTCACTTGCATAGCCTCTTCTTGTAGGCTTCTCAGTAAAAGGGTTTTGGAACTGTCAATCTGGTTTTCAACAGCCCACTCAATACATGTTTGAAAACAGTTTATTGCATCCACATGATTTACCTTTGGCATTTCGGCTGGAGCCACAATTGTTTCTTCTTCGTCATGGTCATTAAACGACAGTATATCGTCGATGATATTCTCATTATTCCACTCGGTCACATCGTTGGCATCGAACTCTACATTTGGAAACACACGCTCTAATAAACGTAAAGAGTTTCTGGTCGCGAGGTTTTCCTCACTTTGCTGAAGTATGGAAAGAGGAACATCGTCCTCTTCGTCGAATCCGTCGTCATTAAAAATTCTGTTCCAGCATTTTTTTAATGATTCTTGGGATACTTTCTTCCACGCCAATGCAAGTAAAGAAACAGCTTGGAATAAGTTGGTTTGCTTAAGGCACGTTTCAAGACTTTCCACTGAGGTCACAACCATTGACAACAAGCTGGTGCGATAATGGAGTTTTAATAGTCTAATCGCATTCTGATCCATGGGCTGGATCAATGGAGTGACATTTGGTGGAAAATACATGACCCAAATTTTTCCGTCTTCGGTCTCTTTTACCAACTGATCGGCAGGCGGGTGACTTGGCGCGTTATTCAACAACAAAAGCGCCATCTTGGGAAGCATTTTATCTTCTAGAAAACGTTCCACCTGAAAATGAGTTAAGATGATTTATAGTGCAATTTATGTCTTCATAAACGCAAAATTTAACAAACCTCTGGAGCAAAAATTCCAAAAAAGCACTTCTTAAATATTGCAGCATTCATCCATGCAGATTTCGAGCTATCATATTTAACCGGCAAAATCTTGTTGCGAAATGATCTAGGGTTTTGCGCTTTCCCAATGACGAAAGGTTCTATCCTTTTTGTCCCTTCTGCATTCGCACAAACCAGAAATGTTATTCTTTCCTTTGACACTTTTCTTCCTGGTGCACATTTCTCTTCCGAATGGACATATGTCTTGTCTGGTAGCATTTTCCAATAAAGCCCAGATTCGTCCGCATTAAACACTGCTTCATGTGAAAGATTATGTTTCTCTGTCACACTCGATAGCTCTTTAATGAATGGGGCTACAAGTTCTTTGCTAGAGGACAATTTTTCACCAGATTCCTTCAGCAGTCTGATTCCATATCGTTTTTTAAATTTTGTAAGCCAACCATCACTCGCAAAAAATGTGTTATTGTACAATTTCTTATGCAACTCGCGCGCTTTACATTTCAGTTGCATAGCTCCTACTGGAATGTGACATTTTCGTTGAGTTAAAAACCACAGTGCATCTTCCATTTTAACGAATTCTCCAGTCTTCATTGTGAAGCGTTTCGCAGAACTTGTAGTGCTGGCTAATATTTGGGCCTTTTGTTTTTTTATTGTGCAAATTGTTGATTTAGACAAGCCAAAGTTGCTTGAAATGTACAATAAAGACTTTCCTTTATCGCAATCCGCGAGTATATTCATTTTGTCGTACAGCGAAATTCGTTTTTTTGTTTTCATTTTGCGGTTTAACTTTTAAATCAGCGGAAAAATGATGCTAACGCCACAACTTAAAAAAACGACTGAAAAAAGCGAGCAAGAAATCAAAGCCTACTGCTTACGCTAGAAATATGATTTGCAACTTGGAAAAACAGCAACTGAAATAGAAACAAATCAAAAACAGCAAAGCCTACTGCTAACGCCAGAAATATGATTTGCAACTTAAAAAAAAAAACTATTGAAAAAGAAAAAGGCAAAGCCTGCTGAGAGAAAGAGTTGTTTCGTATTATCGAACGGTAAAATTATGCCTTATTCGTATTATAGAACAATTAGTGTAAAAAAGACTGCATTCGTATTATTGGACATTCGTATGAAGGAGCTTTCGTATTACTGGACGTCGACTGTAATTGCTCCGAGAAGATCAATCTTTGTCTCTAGATTTGCTAAAGACACTTCTTCGGATGATATAAAGTGCTACATATCGACTAAGATTAACACCCTTATTCTAGGACCCGAATTTTCGTAATTTGTAATTCGTAGCTATGCTACGAAAAACGAAAAATCGACATGATGCAACCCTTGCGGAAAAATGTGCAGCATTGCCAGGTATCAGTTGTTTTTCGAACTCAGCTGTATGAAGGAAAACAAAGTGGGAAGGAATTAAAAAAAAAACTCATCATGTGCATGATTCAATAATAGAAAGGTTTTGTAATAAAACAGTCTTCTCGCTCCCACACATAAAATCGGCTCCTTTACTTGTGCATAAATGTTGCTTACTCTATAGTTTCTAGTGATATTAGTAGTAAAACCAAAAATTCTCCATACTAAATATTCGTTGGCATCACCTTCTTTTGCGTAATTTTCTAGAGCAAGTGTAGAATACGACCGTTTAGCTATAAAATAACAAAAAATGCCGATTGATAGAACTTTTTACGCTGATTTCAACGATACCAAATTTATTTGGCGCATGTAAAAAATAAAGAATATATAAGAGGTTTATTTGTATTTTTATTATCACTAAATTATTGAAACCCAAAAGTAGATCATGATAAAATATGTAATATCGAATTAAAGATAATAACTTGCACTTTCTAAATAATATAAATTTCTTTACCATTAATTATGCAGTTTTTTTTAAAAAAAAGGTTATTTCACGAAAAATAACATTTGTTCGTTTTTTAGTGGTTTTGGTTTAAAAATACAAAAAACTATAAATTGTGTACATCAGATGAAGAACAAATTAATTACCTTTATGGTGACGTCATTAGTTTTTTAATCGGTTTATAGTTCATAAGATATTAATATTTAAAATATCTAAAAACTGAACTTTAACCTTCTAGAACGTCTTCATTTTTTACTTGCGCCAAATAATTTTGGCATGGTTGAACTGAGCATAAAAAGTTCTATTGATCTGCATTTTTCGTTTTTGCATAGCTGAACGGTCGGTATTCTAGATTTGTTGCAGGAAATGACGAATAACTTAAATCAAATATGCATATTTTTATGTATTGTTTAGTATTTCCATTAAAACGCCAAATATATTGCAAATTCGTATAGAATTAATAATACACATTTTACTTACTTTGCGTACTTTTTGTAGTACCATTCCACTACCGTTTTCGCAAAAGGCGATCACATTCTTCCCCTTTCTCCTACTTCCAAAATACAAATCTAGATAAAGGAGTGCCAAATTTTAGCTATCACAAATTACACAACCTTGTTTTATTGAATCATGCATCATGTGCTTGTTTATAGTAAAACTGATTGATTTTAAATATGTATATTGAGTAAAATTATGGATGCTGATGCATTTGCAGTTATACGCGCTATAGCAATGAACTTACAAAGGTATGCGGAGCTGCCGGGCATAGTAACCATGGACGCATCTATGTCAGCTTCTGGTTGAATTGTTCAACCACAAGCCAGAACTACTCCTATGTCTGAAGAACTGGTTCCCAATCCAGTTAATGCAATAACAGCTTCTTCCAAGCCATTGAAAACATGCATTTTGTTAGGTCCACCACCTGTTGCGCTTGCTTCTGCCTTCGGCCGCGCTTAGGGATTATAACTCTTACTAAGTATAATTCTCCTTTCTGTGTTGCCGGAGAAGAGAGGCTTCCGCATGTCAAAGGTATACAATATTTCTTGTGCATATCACAGTATTTTTGCGCAGAACCCACATCGAAATTTGCAAAAAAGTGCGTAGTGCAAACCGAATTTATTAATAATTTATTTTAAATAAAAGTTGAATCCTTTGATTACACGTGTGTGTTAAAGTTTTTGGATTCGGGTAATGCGTAACTAAACCGGACCCAAGTTTCTCGATAAGGGGCAACAAAGATTCTTTTTTGCTCGTTTATATAATGCAGTGGATAAAAATATACGTATATGTGAAAGGCAAATTTATCTGTTTAAATAAGTTCGAAGATACGATTCGGATTGCAGCATACCATTTCTACGATTCGTAGCAAAATCCGAATACCAAAGTGTTGCAGAATAGGGGCGTAAAACTAATGAAGTATTTATTCGTAAATTTAATTTTAAATATGATCCCGATATTTCATCTTTTAAAATTGATGTAGCTGCCGAAGATTTTGATTCACTTCTAAATAATTCATTTTGGCCGACCGGGGCGTTTGTTCGCGAGTTTGAGTATAAAACTTATAAAAGTAATAACAACGTAGCTAAAATTTCTTATCTTAGTTCTCATTCAAAAAACTAAAGCGCTGGTTATACTTGCATTGTGCTGCAGCGTATAACATGAGTACTGCCACATATCGAATCTGTTTAACGAGCTTTGCATACAAGCGATTATCCTACGCAGCGCATGACAGGGCATGGCAGCTAAGTGTGGAGAATTTTGATTTTTCGCTATGTGACATTTTCAAAGAGATATGCCACTCTCATTGCTCTGATTAGTCTGTTCCAGTACACATCACATTTACAGGAATTACCGAGAAGTCGTTCTTGTACATACATTGGGGCATATTTATATTCGAAACAAAGTCAATTATAAAGTTAGTTGCCGCCATTTCATTGAAAATTATGACAAAAAGCAGCAACTAACTTTAGTGTCAACTTAAGCTATGAATAAGCATTCTTCAGTTATGTTTTCCTAACTAAATGCTGGAGTACTGGAACAGACTAACTGATTACACTGAACAGCTGATTCTGGGAAATTATGCGCTCTATGCCGAGAATAATTACACCACTGCTTAACATGCGCTGCTTCTCTATGCCCTGCACTTACAATGTAAGTATAGCCAGCGCTTAATTCGCAAGTCTAATTTAAGTATTTACTATCAAAACGTTAGAGGTTTGAATACCAAATAAACTGACTTATATTTAAAAGGTTTTGACTGCAATTATAATATTATTTCCTTGACCGAAATCTGGCTCAAACCTCATATTTTTAATTCCAAAATTCTTCCAATTGAATATCAAATATACAGGAGCGACCGCGAGGGTAGATTCGGCGGTGGTGTTCCTTTTGCGGTGCATTCATCGATACCATCCGAGGATGTTAGTGTTCCTGTCATTGAATATACCGAATTTAAATGTATACGTGTACAGGCCGGGAAGTCATATTTATTTAACTCTTTGTTACATCCCTCCTAATTCTGCCGTAGCAGTATATATGCAGCTAGTTTCTTTACTTGAGACCGTAAATGCAATGCTTACGGCATCCAATTCTATGGTTTTTTTGGGCGATTTAAGGCCCGTCCACATAAAACTTTGGCGTTGCGTTGGCGTTAGCGTCGCTTCAACAGCTGACTATGAATACATGAATTCAAATGCAGCCGTCCACATAGCCAAAATTCGGCAACGCTCACGCCAACACAAAGCAAAAAGATGGCCAACTCTCATCTTTTCGCGTGCGCCGCTCGTCAACTGTTGCAAATAAATAAAATTACGTGAAATATTTTTCCTTTTTAATCAAGTGCAGGCAAGAAATATCGTTTTTAATGCAATTATTGATATGAAATATTAATTTATCTGTCGTTGGTATGTTAATTTAGTGGCCCAAGCATTGACACCGATGTTGTACCAGTTTCATCTAGAGATAGTTACAATGTATTTCCGGAGGAAATGGCTGAACTTTGCCTCGAAGAAATAAATATATGTCCAAATAAGTTTGGAAAGGTCTTGGATCTCGTTTACGTTGATGATGTTCCGAAGTCCTCTATTAATCGGTGTGATTCCTTAGTTTTGCCAGAGGATGCATACCATCCCGCTTTTGAGCTAAGCTACGAAATCTACTAGATATGTTTTTGCGAGAGCTAATTTCAGAAAAATTAACAAAGAACTTTCAAAGTTATCTTGGCTAACATATAGAGATTACGAGACGAGTGTAGCGTTGAACACTTTAATGATACTGTTTTCAATTTGTTTCGAAAGTATGTACCAAAACGTAATATTGTTCACGAAGAACCAACACAATTATGGTTCACTAAAGAGCTTAAAAAATTTAAAAACAAAAAGTCACAGTCTTTTAAACTGTATAAAAGAACGGGCTTACACAGTTTTGTGGTATAGCTAATTTGCATTAAATAAGAAATGTTGTAAGTCATATTTATGAAAATTAAAAAGAATTTAATTATGAGTTGATGGTAAATTCCGGTTAATTCAACTTTTTGGATTCTAGGCTAATTGACCTAATATGGTTGAGTGCAAGAAAAAACTTTCTTCACATTGCAGCCCGACGTTTCGCTAACTTTCTTAGCTTCCGATAAGCATAACATCAAAAATGCTTATGAATTCAAAGGGAGGCTAAATAATGTACAAATAAATGACGAAGATATGCTGGTGTCATTTGACGTGGTCTAACTGTTTACCAACATTCCGATACCTCTAGCCATCAAAATAATCACTGCTAAGTGGAACAAAATGCAGCAAAATACTAGCATATGTAAAAACAATTTCCTTAACCTCCTGAAATTCTGTCTAAAAATCAATAACTATTTTTTGTGTGACAAAAACTTGTA